AAAAGATACTGAAGATAATAGACTCGAAAATTGCCGAAAGAAAAGAAAAACTTTATACATTCCGGAATATCTTTACAAAGGCCAATGAAAACGGCCTCAACAAAACAAATGCACAAGATACAAAAAAAAACAAAAAATCCTAAGGCATCTCCACCTAGTCTTCATCGGAACCCGACTTGTCACCAAAACCGTCGAGGCCTTCGGATTCTTTAGAGCCCTCAGATCCTTCTTCATCTCCGGGTTCGACTAGCCTCTTGGCCTCGACCTCAAGTATTTTTTCCTCTTCGATCTCAGCGGATAGGTCGAAACCTCGGGCATGTATTTCCTCCAGGGTCTCCCTTCGGGAAAGCTGCTTTACATACTCAGCGGTAGTCTTCAGGTAGGCCTCGGCTGCTTCAATATCCGCCTTGTACCGGGTCACCATCTCGTCAGCATCAGCCGAGGTTACTTCCAACTTGGACCTCGTTATTTCAAGCTCCTTGACGAGGACATCCCGTTCATCAATGGCCGAGCCTAGTTGAGCTTGGAGGTCCTCATTTTGTGGAGCCCGTACATTAGCCTTCTCCTTTGCCACTAGAAGCTTAACTTCCATCGAAGATAGCTTGGCCTGGGCAATCTCCTTCTCCGAGGCCATCAGGTCCATCTTGTTTTTCCACCTGTTGGCCATCACTTGGATCTCATCCATCTCTTTATAGAGTCGATCTGGTCGATCTTCTACTAGACTTGCGAAGTCGACCGGACCTTCATTTCTAACTTCAAAAACTTTTACCTTTTCCACCAAGTCTGCATGCTCCTTCTAAGCCATATCCAGCTCGGCCTGGAGGTTCTTGGCGACCCCCTCCTGATGTTTGCTAAGAAGATTGTACATGTCTCTTTTTTGGGCAGCCTCCTTGATATCGAGCTCGAGTTGAGTGACTTCAACTCGATATTGGAGGAAACTCTCGTGGTGGAGTACCGAGGCCTGCGAAAAGGCAAAGAAAATGTGAGGAATGTCAAACACAGATAACTATGGATACATAGAAGGGAACGATGTCTTAACCGGTTCAACGCCTACTGCACCTCATTTAAAAGGCATGACACGTTCACCACATTCATTTTCGCCTAGTCCTCCTTGGTCACCAAGCATCGGAGGTAGCTATCTACCTCTATAGGAGCGAACAAAACTCGGGCATCCTATGGAACGGTCAGTACAATCAACCTCTTGCGGCCAGGGTCCATGCTCGGAGCGGTGAACTGATTGATTAATTTCGGGCTCAAGCTTGGCCTGCCAGCCTCTGAGAAAGTATCTTTCTTCCAGGTTACCCAGACCGGAGAAGTCTTCCAAAGCTGACGAATCCACTCCAACCAAAAAGGAGTGAATGGGATCTTCTGCACCCTGGCCCCTTTGTTGGATTCTCCTTCCTCGCTTGGGCCTCCTCGAGTATAGATTCGGTGTAGGAGGGCGTCCCTGAGATCTCAATTATGCCGGATGCTTCCTTTGGTGCAGAACCGGCATCCTGGGAAGTTTCATCTCGGGTTTTCACGTCAACTTTTTGAGTTAGAGGGGGTCAAACTCTCGAGTCTCCCCCTCGGATGCACGCCAATCCCTGGGATAGGTTGTCCCATGGGTTACGAAAATAGATTCATCCTCCGGCTCGTCCCTAAGCTGGAGGAGGGAGTCAGAGGCTGGAACCCAGGAACTGAAGCCCCTCCTAGGCTTGCGGAGCACCCGCTTCTTCAGTTTCTTTGCCTTGGAGCTCGGGGAGCCTGAGGGTTTTCTTTTCCTTTTCTTTTTTTCCTTCATGGCAGAAATGGAGGGATCAACCGAGGGGGCACATCTTCATCCCCTTCCAAAGGCCTAAGTTCGATGGTCTTAGGTAAACCTACAATAACAAAGAAGGTAGATGAGTTAGTATAATAAAAGGTGAAGACATAGTGTTGACTACTAGAAAAGAGGCCTTACTATGAGAACGGGCCTCCCATCGGCCCTTCGAGAGAATGCGCCATGTGCGCTCGAAGTAGGACATCTGAGTGTAGATGCCCTCGATCCACTCTTTTAACTGGGGGACTGCATTCGGAACCCACACGATAGATACACAACCACAAACATGGATGAGAAGATAGAAATGAAAGAAGAAGAAATTTTGATGTTGAAAGAAAGAGTTGTACTTACGAGATGCATTCCATTTCTTAGGGAATATCATGTATTCCGGAGGGATCAAATCCTCGATCTTCACTCGGACAAAACGTCCTACCAACCCTGGTCTCGGTCTTCATCGATACGGGAGAAGGGGGCCTTGTTGGCCCAGCATGTGAGCTTGATCAGTCCCTCTCGGAACATCCGGGGACTGTATAATTGAAGCAGGTGGTCGAACGTGAACCGACGAGATTCGAACTTGTTCACGAAGTAACGAATGAGGGTGACGATCCTCCACAATGATGGGTGGATTTCCCAAGGCACACCTCGTACCTCTTGCAAAATCTAGAATGATTGGATCCATCGGGCCCAACATGAAGGGATAAGTGTAACACTTAGGTACCCTTCCACATGGGTAGTAACGCTATCCTCGAGCCCGGGGACTACTGCGTCCTTGCCTTCCCAATCACAGTCCTTACGAACTATGGAAAGAACGTCCTCGATCATAGAACATATGAATCTCGAGACTCCTTTGCCCCCGTCCTATTTGCGCAAATGTTTCTCGATATTAAAATCATCTACAATCGAGCAGCCTTGGGAGATGAACGCCGACAAGGGAGGCTCGGTGGCCGGTTCATTTGAAGCCACAATGGGGAAGCCGTTTCGAGGGCAACCACCTGAGGGTTAACCACTTCAGTACCAACAACCGGTTCAAAAGATGAAGAGGCAAGTTGATGAGGAACGGTTTTTGATGTTTTGGCCATTGCCATTTGGGGGAGTGTTTGAAAATTTGAGAAATGAACACAAAGTTTTAGAAAAACGAGTTTTAAAGATAAAGAAGAAAGTATGAAAATTTGAAGGAAATCTGGAGATTGAAGAACAAGGATGAAGATATGAAGAAGGTTTTGATAATGGCTAGAAAGCTCGAAGATAGTGGTTTGGTCGGAAAGTAGAAAAAGGACAAAGAAATGAGGCTTTTATAGGGAAACAACCGACGCTTCACATTCGAAGGCAACCTGCCGGTGAGCGACACGTGTCCGAAGTCAGAACGACGCGATTGATAAACATTTTGGCTCCCCCATCGTAGCGTACGAAGGAAGGAACCAGAGTCATCTGTCGTTTCCCATCATTTCGGCAAACATACTCTTTCTGAAACGAGGGGACTATCTATATACAGATAGAACCGAGCCCATTGCATGACTCGACTTCCTGGCGAGTCAAACGAAGAAGGAACATGGCCATAATGGATCAGAGTCAGAGCAGGGAGCCCCTCGTATCGGGGCTCGGGCAAAACTCCTCCCCTCGGGGATATCGGGGTCATATCCTCTGGTTCCAATTCGAGAATTAAGGCTTCAGAGAACATTACCAAACAGCTACATACGACTAACAAATGGCCGTGATGTCCGTGCCCAATCGAATATCACGACATGAATCTCGGCTCGTATCGGCAGAAAATCAGTGATTAGCGTAACAGAAGATTTTTATCTTTCTTAGAATTGTATTTAGGGTAAAACTCCCCTACTATATAAAGGGGAAAGATTATTATTCATGCGACACATTGTAACACGCATATCAAGGCAACATACTCTCATTCCTTCTGTTATTCAAAGTTCTTACTTTCGTTTATCAATTCTCCATTAGTGTGAGCTCGGGATCGAAGACAGACACTTTGTTAACACGTTACTGAATCCATGATCACTCTCCTTATTGATTTGGCAATTTATTATGTCTTTTTTCTGTTTAATCTAACGCCATTGATCATCTGTATTGAATTAATCCACATATCCTTAAGACCATATATAAATTCAATTGTTATCCGTTTTTGAGGGTAAACATCAACCTAACAATTTTTTGGACAAAATCTAAATACAAATGTTAAATAACTAAAATTTTAATAAATAAAAGATTTTGAATTCATATATTCAAAACTATGCGGATTGAGAGTAAGAACTAAAGTCTAAACCATTAATTTAATTGTATGTTTGACCAAGCTTCTAAAATTAGTTTATTTTGAAAAGTATTTTTTTTCAAAAATATTTTTCACAAATTACTTTTAGTGAGAAGTAGTTTATGTGTGACTAATCAATTTGAAAATCACTTTTGAGCCGCACGTGATTGTAACATATACTCTTTTATGACTAAACTAGTTAAACAAGGGTGACTTTCAAATGACAGCCTGTGTGTAGCTAACAAGAAAACAAGATTGAAGTAGAAAATAGCTTTTTGAAGGCTAAGTACATAGGATCCCATTTAAATACTCCATTTATCTTGATTAAAATTTTCATTTAATTAAGTAGAAAAATCAAGTTAATTTGTCTCAACAACTAATAGGGTTGAAGAAATAACAACTGATTAGCAGATAATTGTAGTAGGACCTTGTCAATTAGAGTAATAATACTAAATGTTAGCAGTACAAATAAGGGATTTTGACCTATCAAACAAATTATTATTTGTTTAACTAAGATGATGTATTATTAATTTATAAACAACAACCAAATTAAATAGAGGCACCAAATCAAAGCCAAATAATAGCAGAATCCTCTAGGTTTTGGCAGCGTACGTGAGTGAAACTCTATTGATCATTACTTTTTGTAAAATTTCCGAGGAAACTCACTGTCACTATTCTTCGGGTATTCACTAGTGCAATAGCTTATAAATCATACGGCAAAAATTAAATTGCTCTAGGTAAGCTAGGCGCACGAGCTCTGATTGAGGAGACACCTTTTTGTTTTCTCTGTTTTTAAATGAGAAATGAATAACTACTATTAACAGAACAGGAAGCTAAAAGAAATTGAGAATTAAGTGGAGTTAATAAAATTCTTCAATATAATATTTGTTTAAAATATCTTTACTTACCCTTGATGAGGATAGAGTCGAATTTACTCCAAACAGCAAATAATGTGCGCTGCACAACCTTTGGACGAATCTATGCACTGATTTTGACGTTGTGAGAAAGCACTTACTTCAGTTTTCAAAATCCAATGACTCCACAATATTGGAAAAACACACATGTTCCCTTCATAGATTTCACACTTCCTATATGTAAAAAATATACTCATATATGTGTGAAAATTCTCTATTCTTTTATTTGGGTCGTTTTCAGTGTTGTGGATAGTGCACTGGTAGGATTTCGGACACCCCATTTTCTTCGACTGTGTAACTTCAAGATTGGCTGAAATTCTCATGCTTTTTATCATTGCAGTGCCATGATAAAAGTTCTTATTGTCTTTACAGTTGGATTCACTTCTATGGTCCTATGTCAAAGTGGTGTTTTGGTTTAAAAGCACAAATTCTATATTATCCACAAGGAAATCGAGCATTTTGTGACTTTTGGTACCTGGGGTTTCTGATAATTGTTTTTGGTGATTTGGGTAATTTTTTTCTTTTTTTGCCATTTGGTTATGTGTTTCAGAAAGTGTTAGAAATTTGCAGCTGAGTTCTAAACCAAACTCTTGAGTAAAGTGGGAACACATATTTTAGAGTGAAAGATTCAATCTTGTTTTTGGTTTCGAAATCTTTGGTGTTTAGTTTGGAGAGTGGACTGCAATTGCTATATGTATTTGTGGAGGTGAATTGTTGTGGATACAAAATTGTAGAAGCAATTTAGTGCATATTAGGGGAATCTTGATTTGAGAAATCATTTAGAGCAAGTAGTAGAGTTCTTGGACTGCTGATACATCATTGATGTATGCAGATTTTGATAATTATATAGTAAATGGTGTGAATTTATTTAGCTTTTGGTGGTGGTGAGATGTCAATTGTTTCACCTCCTCCAACTCCAAGTTCTACATCATTTGCAGCTCCACCAACTGCCTTTAGTTCATCATCTCAGCTTTCTTCTCCAGCACCTACATTTCAGCCCAATAATAACTCATCATCTATTGCATCTCCTCCCCCTAGCAGTTTACCCCCACAATCTGCTCCTCCAATAAATGCAACATCTCCACCTATAGCACCAGCACCACTGCCTCAATCACCTCCTCCAACAAATATAACATTGCCTCCTCCTGCCTCATCTCCACCTCCACTCACTTCACCAACACCTCCTGTAGAATCTGCTCCTCCAATTAGTCCTCCACCTCTTCCTTCGTCGCCTCCATCTACACCTTCCGGTCCACCTCCAACTTCTAGTCCGCCGCCTAGTTCATCTCCACCTCCATCATCCAGCAAACCAAGTAGTCCACCACTACCTCAACCCGAACCAACTAGTCCTGCAAGTTCACCTCCATCATCATCGGCGCGTCCCCCTGCATTGTCACCTCCTCATTCATCAAGACTTCCCCCTGCATTGTCACCTCCAGCACCTGTGCAAAATCCAAAAACTCCTCCAGCACCACGATCACCGGGAAATCCATCTCCTGAACCTCCAAAAAGCTCATCACATTCACCACCTTCATCCAAGACGCCTGCCAAATCACCTCCATCTAAACCACCACAAAGTAGTCCAGATTCCCCAGCCTTAGTCCCTCCAAAAAATTCATCCCCTTCACCAGCTTCTTTACCTCCTAGTAACTCAGCATCCTCTAGTTCCCCACCTACAGACTCATCATTACCTACACCTATAGCACAATTATCACCACCTCAAACATCCAATGGTGCACAACCTTCTTTTACCCCTCCTTCACCATCATTTCCTTCAGGTGACGCTACTGCGTCCAGAAACAATTCGACAGATAGATCAAATGCTACAGGAGATGGAGGAATTGGCACTGGAGGATCAGTTGCTATTGGTATCATACTTGTGCTTCTGTTGCTTGGTATTATTGGAGCTGCGGGATGGTGCATTTGGAAGCGAAAGAAAAAGGATTCAGGCCTGAATGGTGGTTATATATTGCCAACAACTCTCGTCTCCTCTCCAAAATCAGGTAACATTTGGGTATCATTAATCTGAGATGTTTTAGATGTTGCGAACACCATCAATGCAATAATTGTCATTCAGATCTTTCACATGAAATTTGAGTAGATGTGCAAATTCCCTTCAGGTTCTGCCTCGTTAAAGGTTCGAGAATCGACACCTGTGATTGGAAATGGAGCTGGCTCTAATATTGTCAACTCTCCAGGAAATGGTGGTGGAGTAGGCCATTCAAAACCATGGTTTACTTATCAAGAACTACTTGAGGCTACAAATGAATTTTCTGAGCAGAATCTGTTGGGTGAGGGTGGATTTGGTTCTGTGTACAAGGGATGCCTAGTAGATGGGAGAGATGTAGCAGTAAAGAAGCTTAATATTGGTGGGAGCCAGGGGGAGCGTGAGTTCAGAGCTGAAGTTGAAATCATTAGTCGGATACATCATCGACACTTGGTTTCACTTGTAGGTTATTGCATTTATGAGAGTGGAAGGCTCCTTGTTTATGACTATGTCCCCAACGACACCCTATACTTCCATCTTCATGGTAAATATGGATATTTTTTGATTTCAACATTCCTTTTTGGCAGTAGGTCACTAAAACTAGCTCTTAATACTTGTAAATCACAGGGCAAGGAAGACCTGTTATGGATTGGCCAGCACGTGTTAAGATTGCTGTTGGTGCAGCCCGTGGAATAGCTTATCTGCATGAAGATTGTAATTACTGTTCTCTTCCTTACCTTATGAGTTATCCTTGTTTCTTTACTTCATTTCTTCTCAGTGCGAACAAGATAAAAGTGAACCTCCCCCTCTCCCCTGCAAAAGAAAAGGCAAAGAGAAATAACAAGTTAAAGACTGAATAACATTCTTGGTTGCTCCTTCAGATTCTGTTCCTATTCATCATAACTTATGACGGTCTAATGATACCTAACTCCTATTATCACCTGAATTTGTGTTGTTCTGTCTATATGCTCTCTTTTGGACCAAGAAATCAGATGCTTTAGTCGAGAAAATCTTAGTTACTAGCAAGCATAAGGTCTCCTTGAAAACACTGGTTATATCTTTCGGTCGAAAGTGATAACATCAGGATTTCCAGTATTACTGTAGTGGTGCATGTTTCTCTTTTGGAATGGCCAATTCACTCCTTACCAAGCAGCTGAACTAAATTTAAGGCCTCACCAATCTATGTTGAGAAATTACTAAAATATTTTAACAATCTTGAGCAACATGAATGCAAATGCAAGCAATGCCATTCTTCCTCCTTATGACTAAGTTGGACTGTCAGTCACTAATGAATCCTATCTTATACATTTATATGAAGATATATATTGAACATATTTGTGAAAGTTGATGGTGTGATATGTGTTTACATATTCCCTTTGTTCTTGTTTCTTGACCTGCTGTTGTCCTTTAGCTAGCTGAGTATTGCTGAAAGATGACATGAATACTAACAAAATTGTAGTCTTTTAGGGAATCCTATTCTTTATCACTATAACATGAAATTTCTCAAAGTTCAGTCTTTGAGGCGAAATTATTCTTTTCACTCTTTTAAGTATAGATTTCTCATATGATATTAAATTCTTGTTTCTTTTTTTCTGATTTAATCATTTCTTTTGGTGTTGTTGGCAGGCTGTCCTCGTATCATCCACAGAGATATCAAGTCGTCTAACATTCTTTTGGATATTAATTTTGAGGCTCGGGTATGTGTAATTCCTCAAACTCCTTTGTTTTACATTGTTTTTCTTGCAGGCTGCCGTTTACATTTAATTCACTTTGCATAGGTTTCTGATTTTGGATTAGCTAAATTAGCTCAGGATGCAAAAAGTCACGTTACAACGCGTGTTATGGGTACATTTGGGTAGGTTTCTCTTCCATCATTGACATCAAATACAGCATAAGAAAATGTACTGCTATCTTTTAATTGCCCATGTTTACTCTAACGTCTTGGTTTGGACTTAGATACATGGCGCCTGAATATGCATCCAGTGGAAAGCTGACTGAAAAATCCGATGTATATTCATTTGGAGTTGTACTTCTGGAGCTAATTACTGGACGGAAGCCTGTGGATACATCTCAGCCTTCGGGGGAGGAAAGTCTAGTTGAGTGGGTATGTTTGTCGCTGACCTATCTCTCTTTTCCTCTAAGTCCATAGTTTCGTTGGATCTCTTTCATTAGCATTTCTACACCTTTTATGAGAAATTGAATCAGAATTTTTGTAGTTCCTCCTGACATTTTCCTCACTGCAAGGATTTGGTAGCTGATGTTTGGAAGAAAAACCATAATTACTCTACAGCAGCCTCTAATTGCAGCTCTAGGAAAGTTCCATTTCTTTGGTTCGACTCCAATGTCCTGAGTATGAGATTGATTGTCTACAAATTCAAAATTGAGACCAATATATGAAGGATTAGTATAATTGATTAGTAAGGTCTAAATCAGTGAATTTTCGTCTCTAAGGTCAAAAGTTAAAGCAGGTAACAAATGCAAATACCTGAAGTTCTGGACTGCTCTAATATCCCCTTTTGAGTTAGGGGATAGCAAGAAAATGTGGAAGATTGGTTGAGAACTTCATTTTGATTCGTCTGTAGCTATATGACACAGTGGGAGAGAGATTATTTGCTTAGTTGTTTGAGCACTAGTAAGACTTGGCAGATAGGTGCTTACATGTTTTAAAAAAAATTCCGTAACTTTTTAAGGATTTGTTCGACTCCAAATACATAATTGTTGTACACTCTTCGATTTTATGTCTTCAATATCAAGCTTATCCCGTCTTATTCCACATCACTATTAATCTGTTCTAAATCCTTTTGATTTAGGTATTGTTTTGAAATGCTTTGAATTGATATGTTTCAGTCTTGTATCATCAACCTTTTAACTGGGCATAGGGGTTTAAATGTTATGTCTTAGTTCAGGGTTATGTTAAATCAGCATATTCATTGACTTCAGCTTCTTTAATTGTACTAACTTAGCTCTATTTTGGTTGCGCATCTGTAGAATAAAGGAGATATGACATAACTGCTGCTAAATATGTTCATTAAATTATTTTTAATCAACTATATGCTGATGATGTTTAAGAACTGTGATTTGTATAGCTCTTGGACATGATAAGTATGATGACTGACCAAAGCATGTCTTTATCTTGAAAATAATATGACATTTGACAAGCATGTTGTGAATTAATCTAATAATTGAAAATTTATGAGTGATAACAGTTATTTCATTGCTATATATTATGGGCACTTGCCTATGGCCAATGGCACCAAAAGAGCATGTAAAGTCCTGTTATAGAAGAAGTCCTAATAATATACTTTCTATCTACTAGAGCAACCAAATACATATACTAATACTAGTTTACATAGTATGTGAAGAGTAATTTTCAAGACTCAAGAGAGTATGAGCTAGGCTCATGAAGTTTCTGAGCTTTAAATATTACGACTTCAAGATGAACACTTTGTAGCTCATATCCTGGGATACATGATCTAGTAAAGCTTCAAGTTTCTATTATTTTGTTCGTTACTCGCAATAGACCTAAGTTTAACTTATCTTCTAGGGTCTTTCAGCTATTCTTATATTCGGAGGAATTGCAATGTTGCTTTCTTTTGTCTTATAGAATTAGAAGAGATATATTTAAAAACTCTCTTCTCTGATGCCCTTGAGTCTCTTCTCGCCATGGAGGATTCTGTCTTCGTTTCTTATACAGTGACACAATCATACAATGGTCTGATTTTGTTTCAGATGGTACTGAGAATTATTTATCATTTGTCAGTCCTGTAACATCACTAATTTTGTGCCTGAAACATTGCAGTCTGATTTCTTTTTCAACAATCAAACAACTCCAACAATTGTCTGCTTAAATATTGTTGTAACTTTCTCACGTTACCAAAACCATAAATCTTCAGACAAGTCTAAACTTGAAATTCAACTATTATTTAAGAAAACAAAAAGCCAATAGCAGTAGCAACCGAATACTTATAACTCCTCATTTTGTTGAGCAGGAGACTTCCACTAACTGTGCTTTTATTTGATCACTTTCAGGCTCGACCTTTGCTTAGTAATGCGCTTGAGAAAGAGGAATTTGATCAGTTGGCAGATCCTCGCCTTGAGAAGAACTATGTTGACAATGAGATGTTTCGGATGATTGAGGCCGCTGCAGCTTGTGTGCGTCACTCAGCTGCAAAGAGACCAGGGATGGGACAGGTAACTTCTTTTACTTTACTGGAAACCAACGCACAAACAACCATAAGTCTATTTTTTTTTTTTAATTCGATCATGCTTATGGTTTTGCAGATCATGAGAGCTTTTGATAGTATGCTTATGTCTGATCTGACAAATGGGATGAAGGTTGGTGAAAGTGCAATATATAACTCTGCAGAGCAATCTGCGCAAATAAGATTGTTTCGGAGGATGGCATTTGCTAGTCAAGATTTTAATTCAGATTTTTCCAGTCAAGGCAACCATTACAGTAAAGAGTTAGCTGATCATTATTAGAGGATATACTACAGAACAAAATGGCCTGCTGAAGCAAGTAGATGATGAATCTGTTAATACATCAAAGGCAGCTCAGCTGAGGTCTTGATTAAGTTTTGTAAGTAGGTTCCTTTTACCGCTGGCATACATGTAGTCTGCAATTTTTTCTGTAACTAACAGGAAACTTTTATTGTCGTCTCCAACCATTTTTTGAAACTATTATT